ATAAATGGTTGATGAAATTGAACATATATATATATTTTTCTAAGTAAGGCAGCTATAGCATTGTAAAACTGTACCTTACAGGGCTTCCCTGGTGGTCCAATGGTTGAGAATCTGCCTGCCAATGCAGGGGACATGGGTTTGATCCCTGCTCCGAGAAGATCCCACATGCCATAGAGTCACAACTACGGAGCCTGCACTCCAGAGCCTGAGAGAAGCGACGACTGAGCCCATGCACCGCAACTACCGAAGCCCCCGTGCTCTCCAACAAGAAAAGCCACCCCAGTAAGAAGCCCACACAATGCAACGAGAGAGGAGCCCCCTGCTCTCTGCAACTAAAGGAAGCCCATGAGCAACAGTGAAGACCCAGCCTGGCCAAAAATAAATAAATAAATCTTTCAAAACAAATAAGTGCCCCTTATAAATACTGCCCTGCCCCTAACCCAACAGAGGGTTTTTTGGTCGTGCTGTGATTTTTTGCCCATTATTTTAAGACTGCCTCACCTCCATTAGAAAACTATTTACCTACTATCAAATAATATGCCAACTACATCCCACTTTATGCCCCATTAAGGACCAGTATCTTGTAACAATAATGCCCGGCACATAACAGTTACCCCCACTGACAAGCGGGGCCCCGCTCTTGTTAGGGAAATGCTACAGACCTCATTCCTTGACCCACCGCTCCTGGATGTGTCACTAAAACAACATATGCTTCTCTGGAAGCATTGCTTTAAACATTACATGAGCAGAGAAAAACATATCCTTGGGCATCAAAACTCCCTCAGTCCCCTTTGTAAAGGAATTATAACTTCTGAATAAGCAAGTCAAAAGCAGAAAATCAGAATTAGGGCAACCAAAGTCATCCAAACCAACACGGTCACCGCAGTTGCTTTCTCTTTTTCTATGAACATATGTTTAATTACTGCAGACAAGACTAGAGTCCACAGTAGCACCCTCTCTCCCTCAGGAAGTGGGAATGTTTAGCCAAGCAGTTCAAACAGGAATATCAAATATCCATCCATAAAAGCTGTAGTCTGGAATATGCACATTTCTATCCTCTCTGTGCAAGCAACATGGCTCTTTGATTGATTATAAGATTCTGATCATCTGAAAAGCATTCCAAACAGCTTTGTCATTATCAACTGTTGACAACTCATTAGCACAAAGTAACAGAAGCCTGGAAATAACTCAATCAGTAGAGCAAGTACAATATAGATGGACCAGAATAAAATTAAATTGATAAAGATCTTCTATGTTATTATATAGAAGGGAATTAAAACTTATCAAATATATTTTCATTAAAAAAAAAAACAATTCTAGGAAATCTTGCCATGGTCATATTATTAATTTTCTCTAACAAAAACTGTATGTTCTTCTGACAATTTACTATATTTATATACCTTTTAAAAAACTACACGGGAGTTCTTATTTCATTCTAGCTTTCCCAAATAGAGTGCAACCAAATGCTACACATTTCATCAATAACTTGAAGAAGATACACAGAACATGATATAAAAGAGCTGTTTTCTTTTTATCCTGTCTGTATGAAAATTATGCAATTTGAAGTGTCCCTGGAAAAGAAGAAAAGGTACCATAAAATGTCAAAAATAAATAAATGAACAATATCACATCTATTGAACACAAATATATCAGCTTTACCAAAATTATTGGTTTATTTTTTAAGTTTTAAGTTTCAACCAGAAGCACCTACAGTGTTTGAGAACAGGCAACAGCACAATAAGCTCACATGTTCACCATTCATCTGTCAGAGGCGATGAGCATGCATCTATTTAAAGGAATTCCCTCAAAACTGGTAGATTCTTTTTGATTAAAACAATTAAAAATAGGATTAAAAAATACAACCTGAAAAAAACAAAAAAAATACAACCTGTAATGCCAAAAAGAAGCTTCTAACTTTAAATGCAAGCCAAAGGCATCACAGAGGACCAAGAAGTTAACATCCTGAGGAAGAATGTTTACTCAACAAATATTTACTGAGTATCTTCAGAGTGCCAGGAGTGTGGGGTACCCTCCCCGTAAGAAGCTCGCAGACCAGTGGGAAGACAAACAAGGACGAATCTAGAGTCCAGTGAGGTCCAGTGTTACAGGAAACCTGCCTTACACACAGGACTGAGAAACACCCCCGCCCCTCGCCAACAACCCAGCTCATGAAAGAAATGGCATTATTTTTAAACAAATGGCATTGGAATGATGATGGATAAAGGGCCAATCCTCTCTCTTCCAGAAATGCCAGGCACAGCGGTTGACTGGGGGAGGGCCGCTAACATGACCTCTCATTCATAGAGACCCCCGGGAGGTTATGGGTGCATCAGTAACCTTCACAGTCACTCCCCTGCAGTTAATCAGGCATATCTGAAAGCCTGCACATCTTGAAAAGCACATCATTAATAAATACCTAGAAATGAAACAGCTATGCTTAACCTTATGATGATGGAATTTTTAAATGTAACTTTACTTAAGAAAAACAGATACAGTTACAGTTCATTTACTCAACTCCCATAAATACCTGGAAACTATTTAAGAATTTGAAAGGTAAAAAATAAAAATAAAGGTCAGAATCTGTTCCCTAAAGCAATATACAGTAGGAAGGCTGAAACTCAAAAATCTGAGAACTACCTTTATTTTAGAGATGATTCTAATAAGCAGACTAGAAAAGAAGGGAAAAGTGGTTACAGATACAACACTTGTAAGGAACCATCACAACTGACAGGAGCGAGAATTCAAAGAGACAGAAAGAAACGGGGACATAAAATGCACAGTTTGAAGCCCTCTGCACAGAGTTGATTTTATAAAGTAGAACTTAAAACAGAACCATGGTCTCTTTCTCGGCCTATCCCCATTCCTATTTAACTGGTGAATTCCTTGTAGGTAACTTTAAACAGTCCTACACAGGTTCATCCGTACTTGTAACATTTTTTTTTCTTCACAGGACACAATAATGGAGGACAGGGATGATGAAGGAGCACTGAATTCAGAGGAATAGGGTATGTTTGCCATTTCAATTTTCTTACTCTTTAAAGAAGTTGTTTGTGTTTTGTTTGTTAACATATACTTAAAGCCCTTTAATGTACCATTCTGGGAAGACAAGCATCTTGAAAAAATACAGGGAAGAAAAATGCTGTTACAATGGTAAGTAATTAAAATGCTGCACATGGCCATGGTACAGGAGTTTTATATCTCAGGATACATAACAGCTGATAGTGGCCTGCTCACTCCTGTGGAGAAGATCATGATGAACACATTTCAAGTGTCTGCTTATAGGAGAAGCTTTGTGTGCTTGCATTGGTAGACTGCGCTGGCTCAGCCCACATTCAACAGGAGTTCAGATCTTTACGTTTGTACCCCTGCTCTAGCCCAAACATTTCCGAAAGGCAGTCAGGAGAATATTAATTTCCAGGTGTCCCCATTTTGTTCCTGAGCTCCTTATACTGATGTCTGGCTTAGAAGCAAGGGACCCCTCTAAGAGAGTTGTTAGGCTCTGTCAGCAACTTTCCTCCCCAATGTTACCTCCGCTTTGTGGGGAACAGTAATTGCAAACAGTGTAGTTATGTTAGCTCAGCCTCTTTCTTCAAGATGGACAGATAAAGCCTCTAAAACAGAGTTGAAAAACTGAACCTAGGAGTCCTGCATACCACTAAATTGTGATGTTCGTGGGTAAAACTTGCAAGAGATACATTTTAAACAGCTAGAAGCCAATGTGGCTCATAAGTTATAGTAATGAGTTTCAGGTAATAGCAATTTTGTAGGAAAAGTTAGTCTTGGGAGGACACTGATCACTCTCTGCAGATGCTATCTCAGTTACCAGATTCAAAAGGTAACTCAGTGGATTAAATTTTTACCAAGCTGAGACCACTGTCTTGTCAATGACTTACAGGTAGGCAACATCATACAATTAAAAAAATTTACTCTATGTAACATGAATGAGTAGATACACATATGATATAGCTCTATGGTTATTTTACCTTATAACAAATTGCTTTCTTCTCTTCGAGTAATATCATTTATATGGCCCTAAACTGCTGGATAAAGCCAACACTGTAAAATTCATAACTAAACAAAAATAAAGGATCATCACAGATAAAGAAAATGTAGTTTACATCCATTCAATAAAATATTATTTGGCAACAAAAAGAAATGAAGTACTGATTCAGGGTACCACATGGGTGGACCCTGAAAACATGATGCTAAATGAAGCCAGTCACAAAAGGCTATAGAGTGTATGATTCCAATTATACAAAATGTCCAGGATAGGCAAATCCACAGACAGTAGTACATGAGTGATTGCCAGGGGCTGGGGAGAATAGGGAATTGGGAGTGACTGCTAATGGGTATGGGGGTTCACTTAGGGTGGTGAAAATGTTCTAAAATTAGATAGTGGTAATTAGTGCACAGTTTTGGGGAATGTACTGAAAACCAACGAATTGTACATTTTCAAAGGGCAAATGTTATGATATATGACTATCTCAATAAAACTGTTATTTCTTTTAAAGACTCAATAATTGATTAATGATGATCCAAGTAGAGTAATTCTAAATATAAGAGGACTAAATTTTCAAATACGTTCACTGGCAATTTGAATTTTATCAGAATGAGCTCATCTTACATTCTGGAATCTATCTGTGAAGACTGTAAAATGTTTCTCTTTCAGTACTCACTTTCAGAAACAAAAATCTTCTCTTACAAGAAAGATGAGTAACTCCAATTATAGGCAAATTCACACAGTGCTGCTCCTTGTTAATGAAATACATTCTCTATCAGTCTGTCTAATTTATTAAGTGAACAAGTAGTTCCAAAGAAATCTTGGGTCACTCAAATATTTGGCAGTCACCAAAGAATCTGCAGGCAGCCACCAAAGAATCTGCAGGCAGCTACTTAATTCGCAATCAACTACAACATCAAAACCTAGATACACCTGTTGCTTTGCAATCAGTAGCAATTGTTAATCAAAGAAAACAGAAAATGTAAATATGAATACTGACCTTGTTTCTTTTAACCCTTCTTTCTGAATGACCTCCAATATCTGCTTTGCTGTCATTGGTGAGTTGGGGTGTTTTTCTAGTGCCTAAAAAATAAAGACAGATATAAGACTTCTAGATTACTGCACAGAAGCATACAACATGAAAATGTGTGTGAATCATGCAAATTTTAAAGGGGAAGGGGCTATTATGCCAAATTAGGTTACATGATACATGTCAGGTGTGCAAGGGATAGGATTTAATTTTTTCCTGGACATTTATGGCAATTTCTGCAACATATAGGGGCCATCCTGCAAAAATGTCACAAAGGCATACACCACAAAAAAAAAGTAATGTGAAACCTAAAAACACCTAGTTAGTAAATGTATATAATTTCCTTTATTTAAACTTGCTAACATTTTATGGTTAAAGTCATGTTTTCAGGCTGTTAAAATGTTTCCTAAATTTCTAAAACCTTGGAAACATGAGCCCGAATACCATCAACAGCAGAGAACAAAGCACTGGTCAGAAATAACCTCACTGGATTCATAGTTTGATCAACTTCTTCTGTATTAAAAAACAACAAAAACCTCTCGTGGCCAAAATGAAGAAAAAGCATACAGAAACCCAAGGATCCCATTACAGCGTGTCTTCTAGTTCAGCTCAGTTTCCTTTCATTTGCCTTTTCCAATTCATTTCAAGTAAATTCCTTCCTCTTACGATTCAGCCCATCTCAGCTTTATGAACTCAGTCCTATTTTCTTTCTCTCCCCATCTGTCCTACTTATTTTTGAGTGGAGGGGATGTTTTAAACAAAGTATGGGAAATAACATGCTGCTGCTAAGTCGCTTCAGTCGTGACCGACTCTGTGCGACCCCACAGACAGCAGCCCACCAGGCTCCTCTGTCCCTGGGATTCTCCAGGCAAGAACACTGGAGTGGGTTGCCATTTCCTTCTCCATTGCATGAAAGTAAAAAGTGAAAGTGAAGTTGCTCAGTTGTGTCCAACTCTTAGCGACCCCATGGACTGCACCCTACGAGGCTCCTCCATCCATGGGATTTTCCAGGCAAGGGTACTGCAGTGGGTTGCCACTGCCTTCTCTGGAAATAACATGGGACACAGTTAATTATTTCCACAGGCATCAGACCATCAGCCCTGGAAATCAAGGCTTTTTATTTACCCCAGGATTGAACTACATGTAGCGAAAGCAGTAACAATGGTCCCCACGCTATTCATGAACAAGGGCTACGAGGACCACATCTGGTACAAGAAACCACATCTGGTACAAGTCTACACATATCTTCACAATGACTTCTTCCAAGGGTAGATGACACCTATTGCGTTGGCCAAAAAATTCATTTTTCTAGGACATCTTATGGAAAAACCCAAATGAACCTTTTGGTCAACCTAATACTTAAATTTTCTGTACAGGAGTTTCTGCACAAGTCATGGCCCCATGCAACTTAATGATTCTAGAATCCTAATTTATGCTTACTATGATTATCAGATCAGAATTATCATAATAATTGAGAACTAATTGAGAATTTTTAAGGCAAATTTTAAATTGAAAAGGCTTCCAAATACATTTAAAAGAGCTCTGTGATCTCTTCTACTATCAATGGCTAAATTTCAAAAAGGTCACTGGCAAGGCTTCTGCTCCTTGGGGCTCTGCTCCCTGTGGCTATCTAATGAATTATACACAGCCTGCCCTTCCTCACCATTAAGGCCACTTTTCTGTTCTCACCTCTAGTTCCCAGAAAATGTCCCCATTTTTCCCAGTCTGGTCAGTCCCTTAGTTGCAGATGACAATTCTTTAAAGAACATCAAAACATGCTACACTGGAAAGAGCGTAGCACCAAGTATGTCAACAGGAAAGAAGGAAAACTGTCCTCAGAGAGGAGACTATCAGGAGGAATGGACTGAAAACTATCAGGGGTGGGCGGGGGAAACATAGGCACAGCTGTACAGGGAAGAGGACTAAAGTGTAAAAATATTGGCTTAAAAAAGGCAAGAAGGAAACTGCATGAAAGAGCTGAAAAGGGGGAAAGATTAGGTCACAAAGAAAGGCAGGAAAGGTACGGACACGAAAACAAAAAAGCCGACAGAATTTTTAAAATAAAAAGAACCGTCAGTATTGCAGAACACTTCATACTCATGAAAGGCGATGTTGTGGTCACATGGACTAGATAGAAGGTGGGCATCACCCCCAAGGACAGGCAATGCTGGGGACACCAATGGTCTCTCATAGAAGGTATGGGCAGAAGGTCAATAGACACACACATACACGAGGAAGCAAGCAAGGAAGAGGGAAACTAGAGGGGAGAGACACAGGATGGCAGAAAAGAGAGTGGGCAGGGGAGAAGGGAGAGAAAGGAGGTGTATTGAGCTGAACTGGGAATGTCCAAAAGGCAAACTGATTAAATCTAGAAAGGGCGGAAGAGGAAACTCCAGTGTACGGGGTAAGGTTTTCATGGAAAGTCGGGTGCACTCGAAAGTGGGGTTACTCACTGTGGAGGACTCCCTGTTTCTCTTCCTGAGTACAGGCCCCTCAGCACACCTTGGCAGCTCCTCCCAGCCATGGAGAGGATTTGGATAGCCCTGTCCCCTTCTCTATGACATCACATCCTACTCTACAAAGGAAGTAAAAGTGCGAAGAATTACACCGCGAAGCGGATGAGAGGCAGGAAGGAAATGATGGAGCCACACAGAACACCAGAAGCCACCCTCAGTTCCTGCAAGACAGAGAAAGGGGACAGAGCAGGAGGGGGTCCTGGGTGTGAACAAGCTTCACTGAACTAGCTGTGGGAACATTCAGAGAATGAGAGAGAGAAAATTACTTTCACGGAACAATACCATGGATAGCACTGAAAAAACATGACACGCGGCAGAGACGTGAATCAGACCAGCAGGCAGCCACACTCAAACACGACAGCGGGAAGGAGCCACAGTCAGAGGGAAACTACAGCCCCAAATGTCAGACTGAGGAAGCACCCACACACGCCAGGAATCAATGTCTTGGCTATGCAGTGTTTCCTAAGTCCTTAAAAACCACACTTCCTGGATTACCTTTCTTGACATATTCAAATACAACTAGCATTTGTGAATGACGTGATATGTAACACTTAATCTGAGTTTAACATATTCTTCCAATTGTTTTCCACCTTGTACCTACCTCTTAGAAACAGGGGTCAAGGATGCAATAGAGCAGTGAAGAGAGTGGGATTATATACAATTTTTAAGAGTATGTATCCTAGTAAGATTAGTAAGAGGGCCAATAAATATTTCAGATAATCAAAACAGGTTCAAACTGTCTTGGGCAATAACAATACAATTATGACAAAATATAGAGATTCCAATTTTAGAGTTCACCATGGATAATGATAATTTTAAAAGCCTTGTTTTCTGATTGAAAAAAAGCTGGAAAAATGCAAATTTATACCTGTATTATAGAAAACAAAATGGCACTAGTAAGTTTATGACCAAAAATAATTTCCCAAAGGATACACTGAATGTAATGTTTTTAGATTATTAAGTCAAAGGATATGAGCTCTGTCATGTCTCTGGATACACTGCCAACTATTTTTAAAAATATTTTAACAATTTATACTCTCACCAAGCAGAACTGAACCTGCCTCTCTCCACAACTTTGCCAGGATTAAACATTATCTTTTTTACAATATTCGCCAACTCGGTAGGTCAAATAAGTTGTAATTCATTGTTACTCTAATTATACTTTTGTAAATACTAATGAGAACAAAGTTTTTTTTCAAATGAATACCATATGGGATATCTCTGTCTTTCTTACTAATGTGTAAAAAGCTATTTATATATTAAAATAATATTCATTATTGGGCATGTTAATAACAGATTTGTATTCTTTATGTTACTTATTTTTGGATATTTATGAAGACACATAAAGTATTCTATTTTCACATAACTACTTATGTGACTTTTCCATTGTGGCTTTACCTGCTTTTATGTTTAGACATTCCTTTTATCCAGAGAGTAGGTTAATTATCTACAAATATTTCTTCTATTTTATGCTTTCATTTTTAATCCCATCAATCACTTTAGAATACATCTGTTTGCAGCCTTGTGAAGAATTAACTTAAGCCCCCACCTACTGTTATATAGGTCAAGATTCCCCAACACAATTTGTTTCATAAGCCAGTTTATTGTTTATGGTTAGTGAGGCATCTTCTGCCATATATTACAATTAGAGCGATGGAAACACTTCTGGATGTGAAAACAACATAAAAATGTGGAAACCCAATATAAAAGGCACAGATGGTCATGATTCTGCCTGCAATGTAGGAGATTTGGGTTCGATTCCTAGGTAGGGAGGATTCCCCTAAAGTAGGGAATGGCTACCCATCCCAGTGGCTACCCATTCTTGCCTGAAGAACCCCACGGACAAGGAGCCTGGTGAACTACAGTTCATGTGTTCGCAGGAGTCAGACAGGACTGAAGGGACTTCGCAGGCAAAGCAGAGCTATTGCTGAGGTAGTGATGAGTGCTCAGAACCCCCAGCACTTACTCCCTTTAATGGCCAAAGGCACTTCTGGGAATTTTCAGAGTCTCTGAAATGAACTGCAAACCACTGTCTCTGGGGCTCACCCAGAGGCCCTGCTATGTTCCCCCATGAAGTGAAGTGAAAGTCGCTCAGTCGTGTCTGACTCTTTGTGACCCCAAGGACTGTAGAGTCCATGGAGTTGCTCTCCAGGCCAGACCGAAGAGAATCCAGGTCAAACCCAGTTCTCCCGAATTGCAGGCAGATTCTTTATCAGCTGAGCCACAAGGGAAGCCCAAGAAGACTGGATTGGGTGGCCTATTCCTTCTTCAGGGGATCTTCCTGACCCAGTAATCAAACCAGGCTTGTTGCATTGCAGGCAGATTCTTTACCAGCTGAGCTCTCAGGGAAGCCCCTATGGTCCATGACTTTTAGTCAATGCCTGTGCCAGCACCACCCTCTTTAAACTGCTGTGACATCACAGTACACTTCACTCTCTGGATAGGACACAGCTCTCATTATTCCTTCTTAAATTTTTCATTGCTAACTTCTTTATATTTCTAAATGAAACTTAGATTGGAATTAAATGAGACATTCT